TTTTTGTAATTTTAGATGTATTATTTTAGTAGAAGCTGGATTACCTGCTTGGGTTGTTTTATTTTGTTTTTATTTTAAGAGGGAATACACAAAAGAGCACAAACCAAGCCTTTCCGCCCACCTAGATTTGAAAGTATTTTTTTCTCCATTGGTTTTTCTGGTTAGGTGCCAACTAGGTTAATTGAACTGATTAAACCCTTACAGGTAAATGATTTTGTACGTTTGGGCAAGAGGGATTTCATATTACTGCATACATAAAGGTTGTTACCCTTTTCTTGATATTTATGACAACCTATGTGACACTACATCCCATATTCTTCATAAATATATTGTTATGATATGATTATGGCATAACTATGATGTATTTTATGCAAGATAGGTTCTTCTTTGAGTGCTTGCTCATATCGATTCCAGTTAGTGCAGGTGGTGCGCACAAACCTATCGTCAGAGAATTTTTACCCTAGCAACACCCGGTGGGTCGGCTGTGGAGCCCCCTGGAGTGGCGCCTTCATGGCGCTGGATATATACCCCAGCCGACCCAGTGCCCCCTCAGTTCCTTCTTACCACCCGTGATGGTCGTTGGAACTGTGGAGCGCAGCATAGCTGTCCTCCACTCTCCCTAGCTCTTGTTTCCCAGTTAGATATTGTTGTAGTTGTAGTTTTAGTGTATTTTAGTAGTTCATAGTTCTAGAGTAGTTTATAAGTGAAGTTAGCAGGCTGGAAGGGGGTTTCTCCCCCCCTCTTCTCCCCGGCATGCCGCCCAGGCTCATGCCCAAGGCTCCGGGGTTTAAACCGTGCTCAACCTGTTCTAAGCTTATGCCAATGGGGGATCCTCACAACTCTTGTTTTAAAAAGTCTCATGTCACGGAGTTTTGGGGGACTCAGGGCCCTGCACCCCCGGCTTCCTGCGATTCACCATGACTCTCAGCCAGCCAGTAAAGCAGAAGGTTTATTTGGATGACAGGAATACAGTCCAAGACAGGTCTTGCAGGCACAGACAACAGGGCCCCCCTCAGTTAGGTCCATCTGGGGGTCCCAGGGCATCCCAGCCCCCCTTGGGAGGTCAGAGCAATCTCTGCCTCCCAGCCATCTCACCAGCCAGCTTCCAAGACTCTGCCTTCAGCGACCCCTCCCACAGCCTTTGTTCAGTTTCCCGGGCCAAGGTGTCACCTGGCCTCCAACCCCTTCCTGGGTTCTCATGTTACACGCTCAGGTATTCTCCTTCGGGCAGTCTACCATCCCCCAATGCAGACTATCCTAGCCACACTCCCCTGTCAGCATTCACAGACCACAGTAAGAACAGTCCCAGTTCGTCACATCTCACCAGACCAATAAGTGTAAGATCTGCAAGGCTTTCCGGCCTCAAGTCAAAAAGGAGCGGGACTTTAGGCTCAAACAGCTCCTCATGGAGGCGGCCCTCAGCCCGGATACTCCTTTGGCACGCCAAGTTCCAGCACCGAGTGCCTCAGTGCACAGTGCTCTGGCGGCGACCGTGAGGAGAGGCAGATAAAGTCCCACTGCACCACGTCCGCTGCAAGCTCCTTGGTGCCAATCCCTGTCTCCGGGTCAGAAGAGACCTCATAAACCAGAGGGGACTGCCTCACAACAGCAGGCACCGGCGCCCCCCTTGCCAACCTCGGATTCGTGTCTGGGACCGGAGCGACCGAGGATACAGGCGCCGACATCAGCACCGTTGACTCCGGCACCGGCAGAAGGGCCGTTGAGTCTGGTGAGGACTGGCTCCCCGACCCATACTGTGGTTGCACCCTGTCTTCCGTCTACGCCGGAGTCGTTTGCAACAACAAGGGACCTTATTGCCCTCACAGAACCGGCACCGTCTCAGACTGCGGCACTGCACTCCAACTGCACGGTGCAGTCTAGGGGCAAGCCAACCCTATTACGTCCTCCATCTCCGAGCGTGGACTCTCAGCACCGCTCCCGATCTAGGAGCAGGTCCCGGCGCCGCTCGCAGTCTCGGCACCATTCTCTATCATGGCACCGGTCATACTCGTGGCCCAGATCTTCCTCCCGGTACCGTTCCACCTCTTGACACCACCCCACATCTCGGTACTGTTCGGACTCCTGACGCAGATCCCAGCACCAGTCTGAGCACCGATCCTGCTCAAGAGGCCGCTCCCGGTACTGCTCCCACAGACGGTCTTCATCGCGATCCAGGTCTGGATCGGCATCGTTCTCGATCCTGGTACTGCTCCCCGGCACCGCGCAGAGACCGCACACCTGTGGGCCGGCACTGCTCGGCACCGTTCCCAGCGGAGTCAACGCAGACACGCTCCACACTGCCCTGGCCCTCATGATCCGCCTCACGCTCTTCACAGTCTGATGGCACCTCCCGCTCAGCCTATCCCGCTCCAGGTCAGGCAGCGGACGACCTAGGCCATTGGCAGGATGGGGCTGAAGACCCTAGACAGGATCCTGCACACTGGTCTTTCTGGACCCCGTGAGCATATCACGAAGCCCAAGGGGCCCCACCGGCGGCCTCCCGCTCAGCACGTTCAGAGCCCCGAGTACCGGAGGCCACCACAGTCGTCCTCCCCCTGGGGGTATGGAGGTACCTGCGCCAACTCCTTCGCAGGCCCCAGACCCCGGTACAATGGATCCTCGGTCCCTCCCCTGCTGTTCCACCTCCCCTGCAGCCTCAGCACACTGCGCCACCGGCGCAATGCTCTGGGCAGCGGGGCTGCCAGCTCCTGGGGCAGCGCAGCTGCAGAGCCGGGGCCTCACCCGGTGCTCTGTACTGCGTGGTGGCATGGCTGGTTCCAGCCAGGTGGCGTGGCTGCCTGTCCTGGCGCTCTGGGCAGCGTGGCTGTAGCGCCGCCAGCCACCGGTGCTTCAGGCAGCACGGTAAGGGAGCAGGGAGCGGGGGCGGTTGGATAGAGGGCAGGGGAGTTCGGGGAGCTGGTCAGGGGGCAGGGGTGTGGATAGGGGTTGGGGTGGTCAGAGGGTGGGGAACAGGGGGGTTGAATAGGGGCAGGAGTCCCAGGGGAGCAGTCGGGGGGGGGGGCTGGATGGGGCGGCAGGGGGCTGTCAGGGGCAGGGGTTCTGGGGGCAGTCAGGGAGAAGGGGTGGTTGGATGGGGGCAGGGATACCAGAGGGGCAGGAAGGAGAGGGGGGGTTGGATGGGGGTGGCAGGGGGCAGGTCAGGGGCAGGGGGTTTTCAGGGTGGTCAGGGGACAGGGAGTGGGGGGGTGCATGGGGCAATGGTCCCGGGGGGCTGTCAGGGAACAGGGGAGGTTGGATGGGGCAGGAGTCCCGGGAGTGGTGCTGTCGGGGCAAGAAGCAGGGGGTGGGTCAGATAGGGGGCAGGGGCCGGGCAACGCTTGGCTCTTTGGGAAGGCACAGCCTCCCCTAACTGGCCCTCCATACAATTTCCGAAACCCGATGCGGCCCTCAGGCCAAAAAGTTTGCCCGCCCCTGCCCTACAGGGACATGGGTTCAAGTCACCTGGTACTGAACTCCATCTTGGAATACCAGTGTTTTTCCACTGAAAGGCATGGAAAGTAAGCCTGGAGACAAAGGGTTCCTGCCATATGCAAAAGCTATTTTAAGGCAGGGGAGTGACATCATCATGGTTCTTCACTGTTTCCCCGCCCAAGGAGACTCCTGAAAACACCTGAGGAAGAAGGACTGAACTGGGGGAAGGGCTGAACCCAGGCTAGAGGGATTTCTAGCCTGTGAAAGGAATACCTGGGGTTTTAAGCTGCAAGCAAGTGCAGTTTGCCCTTTAAGAAGCTCTGCAACCGGCTTAAATCATCATTAGGACCCTACCAAATTCATGGTCTATTTTGGTCAATTTCATGGTCATAGAATTTTAAAAACTGCACATTTCATTATTTCAGATATTTAAATCTGAAATTTCATGGTGTTGAAATTGTAGGGGTCCTGACCCAAAAAGGAGTTGTGGGTGGGGTGACAAGGTTGTTGTAGGGGGGTTACGGTATTGCTACCCTTATTTGTGCACTGGTGGCGGCGCTGCTTTCAGAGCTGGGCAGCTGGAAAGTGGCAGAGCTGTCTCCAGCAGCAGTGCAGAGGTAAGGATGGCAGGATATGGTATTGCCATCCTTACTTCTCCACTGCTGCCTGCAGAGCTGGGCCCTCAGTCAGCAGCTGCCACTCTCCAGCCAACCAGTTCTGAAGGCAGCAGCACAGAAGTAAGGTGGCAATACCACAACCCCCCTAAAATAACCTTGCAACCCTCCTTGCAACTCTTCTGGGTCAGGACCCCCAATTTGAGAAACGCTTGTAGTATAGGGTAAAATCACACAAGACCAGATTTCACGGTCTGTGACATGTTTTTCATGGCCTTGAATTTGGTAGGGCCCTAATCATCATTTGGACATGAGTAGCAAATTCTCACCCTAATCTCTTTAGTATATTAAGCTTAGATTGTGTTTTTGTTTAGTTAAGTAATCTGCTTTGAACTGTTTGCTATCCCTTATAATTAACTAAAATCTATCTATTGTAGTTAATAGTAGTTTTTGTTTTGTCTAAAACTAGTGTGTGGAAATCATACTTGGTGCAGAAAACTGTTGCATTTCTTTCTCCACATTGAGGGAGAGGATGGATTTTATGAGCTTACACTGTACAGTTCTCTGTACAGCGCACTGTATAGCCTTCCCATGCAGGTGCTGGTCAGAAAGCTTGTCTGCATGTTATTACAGCTGGGTGTGTCCCTACCTGTGTGCTTGTGAAAGTGTGAGATTGGGAGTGTGTCTGCAGCTTGTCACAGCATTACAGTGTGAGTGGGAGCCCAGGCTGGTGGGTTGAGGGGCTCAGTGGTACCCCAGTTCCAGGCAGCACCCAGGGGGAATTCGTTACACCCTAATACTAATTATTGCTCATGGCTCTGTTCCTCTAGGCAGATTTTTCTCATTATTTTGTCATTTTCTGTAAGTCAAATGGTGTGACAGCTGCTCATACACTGTTACGTAGGCAGTATTATAGAGCTTAGTCTGTGCTGCTTTTCTTTTTTTTTTTTTAGTATCCTGCGTGAAGTGCCTACTTTTGATGTTACTTATACTGCAATAGTTGTGTCTCATTCTGGGCGCATGGTGTTCACAGGCACTTCAATGGGGACCATCCGATCTATGAAGTACCCACTGCCTGTGCACAAGGAGTTCAATGAGTATCAGGCCCATGCTGGCCCTGTTACCAAGGTAAGGAGTTTTTTTGTTTTCCAACCAACATCTGAGTCATTTGGACTCCCCTGCTCTTTGTTTATCTCTGTTTTCTTCTACTCTATAGCATCTGCTAGTGTTAAGGCTACATGTTGTATGTGAAAAATGTTAGAATTATTTGTTTTAATTTTTATGAATGTTAAATCTCCTTGGTTTTGTTGGTTAAGGTATTGTTGGCTGAAAGGTAGATAAGGGTTAAATCCTGCAGCACCCCACTAGAGAAACACATAAATCAGTTTGGACTAGAAACAGGATCAGAAGAAGGAACTTTGAAATATTGAACAAGGGATCTTTGGAAGGCTGAAACTATCTGTGCCCTTTGGTGGATTGTTTCAGCAAATTTCAGGAGAATACACTTGCCTGTATCTGAGTTATGGGAGAGAATGAAAAAATACCTTCCCAGCATATAAAAGAAAAAAGAATTGTGCTCAAATATGGCTGAACAAAAAATTCCTAACTTGGCATATGGCACATCCTCTCTGAGGAAGAGTCTCCTATTTAGGTTTGGCTGGGGTGAAGAAAATAAAAATAGTTATAAGGGATTGGAAAATCTCTTCTGAGCATCGCCAGTGGATATTTAAGTTTTTAGTAGAACCTCACTAAACCACCTTTCCTGCTTTGAAAAGGGCAGTGAGAATGGCACATCTTCCCCGTCCAAACTGACATGCCCAGGGCACACTGCTTGGACAAACTGCAAGAGAGAAATTGTAACTGCCAATCTGTGTTCTAGCTATCCTGTTGTCTAGACTTGATGGTTAAAAAGCTGGTAGCTCGGCTACATTAGCATTCTCACCACAACTTCACTGATCGTAATAATGATAGGAACTCTTAGGGAAAAAAATCTAGTGTAGACACAAACTATATCTCTCCCCTACCCTATATCGTTTCTACTCTTTATTCTGCTGTCTCTTCCCTCCTTAGATGTCCATAACATGTGATGACCAATTTCTGCTGACCGTCTCAGAGGATGGCTGCCTGCTTATCTGGAAAGTGTATGATAAGGAAGGACGGGGTCTGAAACGGGAGAAGGAAGTGGGATATGCTGAAGAGGTGCTGATCACAAAAACCGATATGGAAGAGAAGGTATTAACAAGTTAAGAATACAAATCCTACACTCTCTCCTCAGACTCCCAGTCTAGACATTATGACCTACATTTGCAGAATGTTGTGACCAGCTCTGTCTCTACTACACTGTAGCTGAGTAGACTGGCCACAGTATAATTCAGAAGGAGAGGCTACACCCCAACTGCTACCAATATTGATATGCAAAGAGTAGTGTATAGCAGTGAGGGTGCAGAGTAGGGGCCCTATGCCTTGGCCAACTCATTATAGACTTTGAGAGCAGTTTGAGTGGAGAGGGCAGAAGCAGGATTTCTATTTACCATCTCATGAGGTCAAGGTTCAAAATTAAGATTTCTCCTGTTTCAGTGGTACATTCACCTCCCAATGGGCAAAACATTTAAAAATGTTCTGGAAACTCTCCGTGCCATAGTGCTGTTTGCAGAAGTGTGAATATGCAGAGGCAATACCCTCAAGGAATTGTAGTTACTAATAAATAACCCCTCTCTTAGCAATCTTGTTGGCTTTTTCATGGCAGACTCAAGTTATGCTAGAACTGAAGACTCGTGTGGAGGAGCTGAAGATGGAAAATGAGTACCAGCTACGACTCAAGGACATGAATTATAACGAGAAGATGAAGGAATTAACTGAAAAATTCATCCAAGAGATGGAGTCCCTTAAAACCAAAAATCAGGTATTCACTTTGTAGCAGGAAATAGCAAGATATCGCTTCTCTTATTGCTAACCACCTGCAAATTTGCAGTCTCAGAGCCAAAGATACAGCCTACACCTGAATCCGGTATCCCTGCATCTCTCAGCATGGTGAGTGGATGTCCATGACAAAACAGACATGCTCTCGTCAAGTTAGGGAAGTTCTAATAAATAGCAGAAAGAATCAACAAGACAAACCTACCTGGCAAAATGGAAGATATTTTCTCAGAGATGCTACCAGAAATCAGTGCTACCTCATCACTCCTCAATTCCTCAAATATTTGACTTATTCAAATTGAAATACAAGAACCTGTCACTCAGTTCTGTCAAGGTACACCTAGTGGCTATCTCTGTTATCATCCACTGGTGCAGGGGCATGCAATTTTTCTTCATCCATTGGTAATTAGGTTCCTGAAAAGCCTAGTTAAGGTATTCCTATCAATCAAGGAAACTATCCCTATGGGAGGACTTGAACCTGGTACTTTCAACCCTCATGAGGCCAGTCTTTAAACCCATGGCCTTTTCTTCCCTGCTGCACCTTTCCAGGAAAGTGGCATTTCTGTAACTTCTGCTAGAAGAGTTGGGGAAATTCAGATATTGACAGCTGATCTGCCTTCAACAATAGTTGACCTAGACAGTGTATCCATGAAGACACACCCTAAACTTTTCCCTAAGATAGTGACAGAATTTCACCTACATCAACAAATACATCGCACATTCTTCCCAAAACCTCACTGAGCTGAGGCAGCATTGCACATTCTAGACATCAGAGTCCTGGCCTACCACCTGAACAGGGTGAAACTAGGGCTGTCGATTAATCAGTTAACTCAAAAATTAATCGCAGTTTTAATCACACTGTTAAACAATAGAATACCAATTGAAATGTATTAAATATTTTGGATATTTTCTACATATATATTGTATTGCGTTGTAATTGAAATCAAAGTGTATTATTTTTATTACAAATATTTGCACTGTAAAAATGATAAACAAAAGATAGTATTTTTCAATTCACCTCATATAGGTACGAAGTGCAATTTCTTTATGGTGAAAGTGCAATTTACAAATGTAGATTTTTTTGTTTGGTACATAACTACACTCAAACAGACCAAAACAATGTAAAACTTCAGAGCCTACAGTCCACTCAGTCCTACTTCTTGTTCAGCCAATCGCTAAGACAAACAAGTTTGTTTACATTTACAGGAGGTAATGCTGCCCTCTTCTTATTTACAACGTCACCAGAAAGTGAGAACAAGCATTTGCATGGCACTTTTGTAGCTGGCCCTGCAAGGTAATTTACATGCCAGGCATGGTAAATATTTGTATGCCCCTTCATGCTTCGGCCACCATTCCAGAGGATGCTCATTTAAAAAAATAATTTGTTAATTAAACTTGTGACTGAACTCCTTGGGGGAGACTTGTATACTCTGTTTTACCCACATTCTGCCATATATTTCATGTTATAGCAGTCTCGGATGATGACCCAGCATGTTATTCACTTTAAGAACACTTTTTCACTGCAGATTTCACAAAACACGAAGGTACCAATGTGAGGTTTCTAAAGATAGCTACGGCACTCGACCCAAGGTTTAAGAATCTGAAGTGCCTTCCAAAATATGAGAGGGACAAGGTGTGGAGCATGCTTTCAGAAGTCTTAAAAGAGCAACACTCTCATGTGAAAACTACAGAACCTGAACCACCAAAAAAGAAAATCAACCTTCTGTTGGTGGCATCTGACTCAAATGATGAAAATGAACATGCGTCAGTCCACACTGCTTTGAATTGTTATTGAGCAGAACCCATCACCAGCTTGGATGGATGTCCTCTAGAATGGTGGTTGAAGCATGAAGGGACACAAACTTTAGTACATCTGGCACGTAAACATCTTGCGATGCCGGCTACAACAGTGAATGCCTGTTCTCGCTTTCAGGTAACATTGTAAACAAGCAGCGGGCAGCATTATCTCCTGCAAATGTGAACAAACTTGTTTGTCTGAGCGATTGGCTGAACAAGAAGTAGGACTGAGTGGACTTGCAGGCTCTAAAATTTTGCATTGTTTTATATTTTTTAATGCAATTTTTTGGTACATAATTCTACATTTGTAAGTTGCACTTTCATGACAGAGATTCCACTACAGTACTTGTATTAGGTGAACTGAAAAATACTATTTATTTTGTTTTTTTTACAATGCAAATACTTGTAATCAAAAATAAATATAAAGTGAGCACTTTACACTTTGTAATTGAAATCAATATATTTGAAAATGTAGAAAACATCCAAAAATATTTAAATAAATGTTATCCTATTGTTTAACTGTGTGATTAATTTTTTTAATTGCTTGACAGCCCTAGATGAAACCCTTTAGAAAAGCATCGAGACCGCTTGTCTATGTAGCGGAAAGGTCGACAGGCTCTGCAATTTCATCTCCGAGATTGCCAAACTGGATTTCTGATTGTATCAGAACATGATACAACATAGCCAAGGTAGAGCCACTATCCACAATGAGTACCCACTCTACTAGAGCACAAGCTGCTTCAGCAGCTCACTGCAAAAATCTACCAATATCGGATATCCGTAAAGCAGCTAGGTAGGCATCAGTACATATGATCACAAAGCACTATGCCCTAACTGAGGCTTCCAGATCTGATGCTGCATTTGGTAAAGAAGTTCTTCATTGTTTAACTCCTCCAAGCTCCCATCTCCTTGATGCAACCACTGCTTGAGAGTCACCATCAGTGGAATATGCATATAGACAAAGGAGAATGGGAAATTACCTACCATGTATAAAGCAACAGAGGGTCCTGTGGCACCTTTAAGACTAACAGGACCCTCTGTTGCTTTTTACAGATTCAGACTAACACGGCTACCCGTCTGATACTTGCTACCATGTATAGTAATTGGCATTCTTCAGAACATGTACATATACACATTTCACAATCCGTCCTTCCATCCTATCTACATCAGAGTCCTCTCTGGGGATTCTGCAGTAAGAAGGAACCAAATAGTGGCCAACACATTGGTGAATGCTTCATCCTTATGCCCTCGCTGAAGAGCATGAGGACAGGAGGAAACATACACATTGTATGGATACAACTGGCCAGAAAAGTCTCTGATCTTGAGCTCTTGAGGTACCTCCACATCATCAGTGGAATGTGCATATGGACAACACATCTCAAGAACTCCTGTTACTATATATGGTAAATAACTTCCCAATCACTTTGTTTCAATCCTTAGTACCCCTTTGGAATGTTGTAGCAGAAAGGTAGGTCTGCACTGCAATTAGACACTCGTAGCTGGCCCATGTGGCTCAGGCTGCAAAGCTACTTAATTGCAGTGTAGACTTCTGGGCTCAGGCTGCAGCCTGAGCACTGAGACTCTCCCACCTCACAGGGCCCTAGAACCCAGACTCCAGCCCAAGCCCAGAAGTCTGCACTAAACAGCCCTGCTGCCCAACCCTGGAAACCCGAGTCAGCTGGCACAGGCCAGGTGCAGGTTTGTAATTGCAGTGTAGACATAGCCTAAGTGGGCATTCCTAGAGCTGTAAAGATATATCTGAACTATATGGAATACACAGGCCAACTGTATTCTGTTCATCTTGTTCTGCCCCAAATGCCAGGATCTTAGAGCTTAAAGGTTGCTGCAGACAAGATGTTAAAATCCTGCACCAATTGGCATGCTGGGCATCTGAGAAACTATTTACAAAGAAAGAGATGAGGTCCCTAGGGGCATTGTGGGGAAAAGTACGAGCCTCACCTGAGTAACTTCTTTCAGTAGATGAAGGCCTTGGCTACACTGGCACTTCACAGCGCTGCACTTGCTACGCTCAGGGGTGTGGAAAAAACACCCCCCCCTGAGCGCAGCAAGTGCAGCGCTGTAAAGCGCCCGTGTAATCAGCACCTGCAGCGCTGCACGCTCGCTCGTAATGCTTCAAGCTATTCCCCTCAGAGAGGTGGAGTACGTGCAGCGCCGTGAATCCGCGAGTAGCCAAGGCCATAGATCTATGTAGCTCTATGCCAGTGGTTCTCAACCCGTGGGCCACTTGCAGCCCAATCAGCACAGAGCTGTGGCCCATGTGACATCCTGAGGGCCATACAGGTAGTATTGGAGGGGGCCCACAAAACACATGGTGGGCCACACATGCGGCCCACAATGTAAATAGGTTGAGAACCACTGCTCTATGCTATATTCTAAGAACTCCATTTACTACTATGTAACTTGGTTTTCCTTTTCTTTTTAGTCTGTCCCTTCTGGATTCACTTGCCCTGAAGGCTTTGTTATCTTAGTGACCCCTGCAGTCTCACCCTGAAAAGGGTAGAGCTACACATTCCACTCTTTCTTTGATTTATTCCCCACCCTAGGCAGGCACTTGAGGGATTTGGAGTTTGGTTTGCTGTTTTCAGATGAAAACTTCATCTGTTTGTTTTTTCCAGGTGTTAAAGGCAGAGAAAGAAAAGCAGGAACTGCAGTACCAGGAGCAGCTGTCTGAGCTGATGGAAAAACAGTCCAGGGAGGTGCAGGACCTAGGTTAGGACACATGAGAATATCTTCAGCCAGAATGGGAGGAACTGCATTGAACTCATGGCAAATGATGAAGTGGAGAGGGAAAGTCCATATTAAAAAATGTGCAGTGCATGAGCAAAATGGTGCAAAACCTTAAGGAAAGTAGGGTATCACTGTCATTATCTGGAATTATTTTAATTGATTTGTATTGTGGTAACACCCAAAATGTGATTTCAGTTTTGGAAAAAAAAAAAACAGTAAGAAGGGACAGGCATGAACCAGAGAGGTGGGGCAATAGGAATGACAGGCAGCTGAGGAAGGTTGGGGGAACATCTAGGTAGCGGTTGGGGAAAGTGGAATGGCAGAAGAGTCCTACAGCAATGGAGTAGAGAAATCTATATAAATGAGTGCCAGGAAAATGGAGGAATTCAAAGCAGCACTGGAGATATGGGGAAAAGCAAGGCAGTGACATTTGACAATAGCATATGTTCATGCTTTGGGACTGAGTGCATCACAAGGAGAGGAGAGTGAAACTGTGATGTTTGTTCAAGTACAGTTCTCCTCTACAAGCTGACTATGTAAAAATGACATAATCTTACCTATCATTCAATGAGGAAACCAGTATGCAGTGCACCCTGCACAGCACAGAAGTAGCTAGGCCCAAGTTTCATAGCTAAGATCAGTGTTCCCTCTAAACATTCCGCACATGTGTGGAAAAAAATATGTGCAGCTATATGGAGGTGATGTGTGACACATAACAAAATTCATGTGGTGGGGCTGAAGGGTTCAGAGGGGTGGCAGGGGGCTCAGGGCTGGGGTAGAGGGTTGGAGTGCAGGGGTGTGAGGGCTCTTGGGTGGGACCGGGGATGAGGAGCTCAGGGTTGGAGCAGAGGGCTGGGGTTGGGGGGTGAGGGCTCCGGCTGGGGATGTGGGCTATGGGGTGGGGCTGGGGATGAGGGGTTTGGGGTGCAGGCTGCCCCAGGGCTACAGCAGGGAGAGAGAACTCCCCCCAACTCTCTCTCCCCACAGCCGCACCTGGGCTTGTGGGGAGAGGCACCTGTCCCCGCCGTGGCAGCTCCAAGGCTTGGGGTGCAGGATAGGCACCCCTCCCCTGGCTGCGGCAGGTCTGGGCTGGGGCTGGGTTCGGGCCGGGGGAGGGGCACCCCTCTGCCAGCCGCAGCAGGTCCAGGGTTGAGTTGGGGCCGGGGGAAGGGCGCCCCTCCCCCTGTTGTGGCAGGTTGGGGGCTGGGGGAGGGGTACCTCTCCTTTGGCCACAGCAGGTCCCAGCCAAGCGGGCTCCCTGAGGCGCATGCGCAGCACTTAGCCTGCTGTGTAGCCATGCATTCATGCAGCTTACAGGGAAACTTAGGTTAAGATCATGGCAGGGGAAGGAGGCCATTCCGGAAAGTCCAGTGCCTACACTTGCTCTATAAGGGTATGTCTACCCTGGAATAAAAGACCCATGGCACACACACGCACCCCACTTCACAGGGTCCCAGAGCTTAGGTTTCAGCCTGAGCCCAAACATCTACACAACAGTTTTACAGCCTTGCAGCCTGAGTCCCTTGAGCCCGAGTCAGCTGACCCGGACCAACCACAGGTGTTTAATTGGTGTGTAGACGTACACTAAGAGCACTGCTCATACAGCTCTGATGATCATCATCTCAGGTAGAGCTTCATTGCTATTGATGTATTGCACCAAGTAGATCGGAGAACCCTCCTGTTGGGTGTACTTCATTCACTCTGTTTGGGCCTATGTACAGAATACCAAACTCTAGTCAGCTGCACTGAAGCAGTAGAGTGGGAGCAACATGAGCTGTGTTCTCAAGTTCTGACAGCATGCTTGCACAAAATAAGGCAGTCCCAGCCCCAAAGAGCTCATAATGTAAGATAGAGGCACACATAAAACAGGGCACTCAGGCAAATCCAGAGAAGAATCACTTTTTTGTTTTAATGTTAACTTATTTCTTGTGGGTATCATGATTAAAAATACATCTTTAGAAAGGACTTCAATAAGGATGAGGAGGTGGCCTGGTGAGCTGGGATGCGGACGGCATTCTGTGCATAGGGATCAGCATGGAAGACGGCACAGAGAGGGGAGTGGGAAAAGATGAATGGGGACATTGAGGCTGTCATTAATAGGGAAGTAGTAGATGCAAGGCACATGACAGGAAAAAGCTCAGATGTCCGAGGCAGAGATGTGTATGGCCATAAAGACAATGACAAGAGTCAGAGGAGGCATTGTTATTGCAAGCAAATATCAGAAATAACAGGGTGTCAAAAATAGGGGTGATAAATATAGAAGGATACCAAGTATCAGAGAGGTAGCCATGTTAGTCTGTATCCACAAAAACAATGAGGAGTCCAGTGGCACCTTAAAGACTAACAGATTTATTTGGGTATAACCTTTTGTGGGTAAAAAACCCACTTCCCCATGCAGCTGAAGTGGGTTTTTTACCACGAAAGCTTATGCCCAAATAAATCTGTTAGTCTTTAAGGTGCCACCGGACTCATTGTTTTTATAGAAGGATAGGACATATCTTCCTGCCCTTAGCTCTATCATTTCCATCTTGTTCCCAGAATCTGGCAACAACCAGAAACTTTTGTTAGAGTATGAAAAATACCAGGAGCTGCAAGTGAAATCCCAGCGGATGCAGGAGGAGTACGAGAAGCAGCTACATGATATGGAGGAGACCAAGAACCAGGCCCTGGAGGAGCTGACAGAATATTATGAGGCGAAACTGCATGAGAAAACCACCTTGCTGGAGGAGGTATGAACTACATACCTGCCTTGGGCTGCTGACTGTATCCTATTTCTAATTGTAGTAACACGTCTTCCAAAGCCAAGGGAGGTGTGCCTTCTGCACATAGGACTCTATCCCGGATTGCGGGGAAATGAGTGCACAGGAAGCAGGGGCTTCCTTATTGCTCTTCTGAGTTAGCTGGGGCATAGGCCTTCAGTAAGTACCATTCTAAGGTAGTTGTCTGCCTGTGATATTTCTCTTCCTGCCTCTCCATCCATTTGGAAGGATGTGCCTTACGATCTCTATCTGTCTGCATGACTCTTATTCATAGAATCGTAGGACTGGAAGGGACCTTAAGAAGTCATCTAGTTCAATCCCCTCCACTCGTGGCAGGACTAAGTATTATCTAGACCATCCCTGACAGGTATTTGTCTAACCTGCTCTTAAAAACTTCCAATGATAGAGATTCCACAGCCTTCCTAGGCAATTTATTCCAGTGCTTAACCACCCTACCAGTTAGGAAGTTTTTCCTAATGTTTAACCTAAACCACCCTTGCTGCAATTTAAGCCCACTGCTTCTTGTCCTATCCTCGGAGGTTAACAAGAACTATTTTTCTCCGTCCTCTTTGTAACAATCTTTTAGGTACTTGAAAACTGTTATGTTCCCCTTCAGCCTTCTGTTCTCCAGACTAAACAAACCCAGTTTTTTCAATCTTCCCTCATAGGCCATGTTTTCTAGAACTTTAATACTTTTTGTTGCTCTTTTCTGGACTTTCTCCAATTTTATTCTTTTCCCCCTCTCTGCCAAATAATTTGACCTTTCTCCTTCTGTGTCAAGATTACTTGTTTTTCGTGCTTCTGAGAAGTCCCCACTTCATTGCTTGTCTGGGGAACTGTCCAGCATGGTTATAGGGAAAGTTATTTACCTAGAGTCTCCCATTCTCAAGATACTCACAGTGATGGGTTCCCCCCAGGGTGCCATCTGGAACTGGGGTACCACTGAGCCCACCTGACCCACCAGCATCGGTTCCCTTTACCCTGTACTGCTGTGACCGGCCTGCCAAGCCCTCTCCCAGGCTCCAGTCTGCACCTTCACCAGCACACACAGAGGTAGGGACACACCTAGCTGCAGAAACATACAGATGCTGCCTCTGCCTGGGAAGGCTTCATCTAAGGAACTGCCCAGATACACAAGTGTATACCCCCCTCTGGAGGGTAAACCCAAAATTATACCGTCTTGCGCTGTACAGAGAACTGTACAGCGTAAGCACATGAAATTCGCCCTCTCCCTCAATGTGGAGAGGAAATATACAACAGCTTTTTACCCCAAGTTATAACTTCCACATGCTGGTTTGTGATAAAGCAAAAACAAATGTATTAACTACAAAAGATAGATTTTAAGTGATTATAAGGGATAGCAAACATATCAAAGCAGATTACCTAGTGTGACTAAGTGGGGATTTTCCCTTGTTATGTTGTATGTGAGTCTTACTGTTGAGCCTATGTGAGTTTTACTTTTTTGCATGTATAATATGTGACTCAGTTTCCCTGTGTGCTGCACCAATACCTCGGAGGTGGGAATAGGAGTGTGTGACTTTGGCTGAGACTTCTGGGGCAGGTGAGGCTGCTCCAACTGTCTGCATATATGCTATGACCAGTGCTCTTCATAACCTGAGACCCAGGAGGGGAATGCAACCAGGTGACGACTAGGTGACTCTTGTCTTGGGAAGTAAGACAAAGGAAGGAGGAGGAGCAATGGGGGTGTCTGAGGTCGGGTCACTGGAAGATGGGCAGTCTGTTTGGGGGACTGGAAGAGGAGGAGTCCAGGCCATCTGGCCCAGGACTCCCCAGGATGGATTTGGCTGAAAGTCACTGATTTCTGTGCTAACAAGTTCTGTTCTACACTGTGTTCCTGTCAACTAATAAACCTTCCATTTTACGCTGGCTGAGAGTCACGTCTGACTATGGAGTTGGGGTGCAGGGCCCTCTGGCTTCCCCAGGAGCCCCGCCCAGGCGAACTCGCTGCGGGAAGCGTATGGTGTGGAAGGAGATGCTGAATGCTCCAAGGTCAGACCCAGGAAGGTCGAAGCTGTGTAAGCTTCTTGCCCTGGCGACAGTATGCTCAGAGAGAGGAGGCATGCTCCCCCAGAGTCCTGACTGGCTTCATATGGAGTAGTTCCAGAGCATTGGCCTGGTGGCTCCGTGACACCTAGCAAATAAACAAAAATGGAATCTAAGCTTAATATACTAAGAGATTGGATATGAGTAGAAAATTCTTACCCTAAATGATGGTTTAAGCCGGTTGCAGAGATTCTTAAGGGGCCAGCTGCCCTTGCTTGTAGCTTAAAAACCCCAGGTAATCCTCTCGCAGGCTAGAAACTCCTCCAGCCTGGGTCCAGCACTCTTCCCCCCCACTCCACCCCACCCCACCCCAGTTCAGTCCTTGTTCCTCAGGTGTTTCCAATAGTCTCCTTTGGGCGGGGAGTCAGTGAAGAACCTCAATGATGTCACTCCCTGCCTTAAATAGTTTTTGCATATGGCAGGAACCCTTTGTCTCCAGCTTGGTTCCCATGCCTAGTCAGTGGAAAAACATTGGCATTCCAAGATGGAGTCCAGTATCAGGTGATCTGGTCACATGACCCTGTAGTGTCACAGCAGCCATGACTCGGACACTGTTTGTAGCATCCTCAGAAAGGCTCCCAGTGGGAGATAAACTTCTTCTAAGGCCTGTTGTTTTCTCTACTGGCCCTTCCCAGCCAACCATCTAGACTGATTGCATTCTGCTTAATGGGCATTCCCCAGGTGTAAAATATTTGTAATACAGATACACAGTCGATATTCCTAACTTCAGATACAAACATGATACATGCATACAAATAGGATAATCAGATTCAGTAAATTATAACCTTTTCAATGATATCTCACATGCCTTATTTTGCACAAAATACATTATAATTATGCCATACTCATATCATATTACTATCATATTACTATTACTATGAAGAATATGGGGCATAATGCCACACCCACCTTAATAGATCCCCACACTCAGACCTGTATACATGGGCTTGGTGGAAACTCCTACACTTCAAAGTTCTCGATCCCTGAACCCAGTAGTGAGTGTCTGTGCCTATGGTGCTAGAATGCTAAAAGTCTGCCCTCAGTGCTCCAGCTGTCACTCCCAGACTCTTTGTTAGTCCTTTTTTGTCCCTCTGTGGGATACCCAGCCCTTCTAGCTGGAACACATCCCTGCTCTTCCCAGTGGGAACTCCCCACAGCCTTACTGAGAGGTCTTCTTTACCAGGGGAGCATCCCTTATGCACTCTGGCACTCACTGTCCCCCTGGGTCCAGCTCTCCAGTATGCAGATATAAGTAGGTCTGTCATCAGGTGTTCGGCTGCATGTGTGTTCTCCCTGTGTGCTGTCCCAGCTCTGCGCAGACAGCTGGCACAGCAGACTTCGAGCATACCGCCCAATAAATCCACAGACTCGGTTTTCAGCGAAGGAACTTGGTGAGGGTTATTGCCAACGAGACACGGTGCTAATGCCTGGGCTCAATTGTTTCAGGTACACTAACACGTGTATGCCCGTGACAACGGACCAGCTCAGTGAATGGCAGGACTTTCCATTCTCCCCTCAGCCAGACAAAGACATTTCCTCTGAGATACATCTTTATACACCAATAAAACAAGTTACGTATCGCCCCTGACGTATCAGGGTGCCACCCTCTGACGTATTAGGGTGCCACCTGTTGCCTTGTACCTGTAGGCTTGATCAAAACATCTCTATCTATCATGCTGTCATCCTGACCTTATCCTTAAGATGGGTCAGCATGTTCCTGTTATCTTTGGGGAATGTGTTTGGTATCGGGGTGTTCTGGTACCACCCTTCTGGAATGTGAGTGCTTTGTGCCTAGCAATGCTTAGGAATATATGTTTTTGTAATATTAGCCCTATACTTGCCAAAAGATCCGGGGCCTCACAACTTAACTTTGCTTTATATCAGCAAAGTTTTAACTACTCTAGCCCTGGCCTCAGGCCTCACACCAGGACACTGATACAAGGCCTTATGTTTCGGGCCCTCTTCCTACTACACCCTCCACTGTTCTCTTGTCTTCAGCCCTCTCCGACCCTCAACTCAGGCTTTCTGGCTTAGAGCCAGCAGGCACCTCTTTCTGCTGCTCTTCCTGCCTTCAGCTCTCTCTGGCCCATGGGTCTCTGGCTTGGGGAGGTCAGCCAGCAAATCCCACTTGCTCTGCCTGCCTTCAGCCTTCCCCCAGAAAACTTCTTCTGGGTTCTGACAGCTCTCATGTGCCCAGACTGACTGACCAGACAGCTCTCACTTGTATTCTTCCTGATTGACTCTTGCAGTCCTGACTCACCGAGTTTCTCTGCTCTCTGACTTTCCCTGATATTGTATAGATCCAGGTACAGGTCTGTCTCATCTTACGCTGGGGTTACGTTCCGCAGTCCGCGCCTAAAGCGAAAATCGCCTATAGTCAAAATTACATTGAGTATAATGGCGGGTGGAATCGCCCGCACTACAGAAACAGTATTTAAATTGTTATTTTTCTCTTTTTTTTGTTTTGTTTTTTTTTGTTTTGCCGACTGTGTAAAGCTGAAATCGCACATGTTAAATGCGCCTAAGATGCGACAGACCTGTACTTCCCTGCCCTCCTAACTGGTCAAACTAGGAGTACCTCTTGTGGCACAGAGGAGCTGGACCTATTTAATTTACAGGGGCCCACCACCCTGTGACAGTCTGTTAACAATTTTTTTAAAGAAATTTAATCATCTTGGAATTGAAATTTGTTTAAATAGTGTTAGTGCAAAGATCAGGGGTCCATTAAAGTGTGTGTATATATATATATGCTCAGAGGAGAATGATAATTACAGATAAGTAAGTAGTTAACTCTTCTTCCCCATCGCCAATAGCTTCCACAGATTTCATGGACCCACTGCTACTATTCCCCAGGCCCCTCTGAGGAGAAACTGAACAAAATACAAAGTCTGATAGTTATGCTAGAGATCTTTGTCGTCCCACCTCTGTCTCCAATTTTCTTTTCCTGATTCCAGGCACAGGATGACGCCAGGCAGCAGCTTCGAGAGTTTGAAGAAACTAAGAAACAGATTGAAGAAGATGAAGATCGGGAAATCCAGGAAATCAAAATCAAGTATGAGAGACGACTTCGGGAAGAGAGAGAATCAAACCTGCGGCTGAAAGGAGAGACAGGAATCATGAGGAAAAAGGTAACTTCAGTTCTCTAAGGGGATCTGATTTGGCACCTGGAATACTAAGGCTGAGTTGAGTGTAGAATGTGTTCAATGAGAGTACTAGTCTATATCTAGACATGTATGGCATTTTACTGAGGCATGAAAGGGCAACTTCTCCTTCCTATAGTATAGCTTGGGAATCTTACAATATTAGGAGCAAAAAAAGAACCTATGTTCTGGTGTAACAGTGACTAGATTAAAGGGAGAAGAGAAGTTACAGGTTCCCCCTGCCACAGGGGCAATGCAGAGCTTTTCCCTCTACTAAGTTTACTGATATCTAGTACAGTTTGGGGCACTATATAAATAATTAATAACAATAATAGATAGTCCCATCTCTTGCAATTAAACTTTCTCATGCTTCTCAGGAGACTTTGCTACAATTTGATATTTATCTTACTGTCGGGAAAGTATTCCTGGTAATGAACCAAAATTTGTGCCTAGTTTTATCCCAGTTCCCTTAATTTTCACCCTTTTGTAGTAAACAATTCCTTTCCTTCCTTGGTGTTTATACTCTTCAGATATTTGTAGAGGGTTATGTTTGTCATCATCATAACACTTAAACAATTTTCAAGTAAATATGACTGCATTAGAATGACAAGCTATACAATTGTTGCCAAAGTCTAAGGAAAATTCATATCCTCTCAGATCTCTCTCGGGGTAGGTACAAGTCAAGCAGGATAAGATTATGTACTGTATTTGAGGTTTGACCCCTTTCTTCCATTTGTCAGTACTGTCCTGATTACCATTCCTGATATAGTGACAGGTTGCTACACAGCATGGAGCCATCTCTGCCATCTTTCCTTTCTCCCAAGGTCAGGTAGTTTTTCCACATCACTCTCCAGTTCCCAGTAGTATAGAAAGTGTCTCTGTTTCCATCTCTTCTGTAACATTAGCTGCACAGTCGCTCCTCTCAGGGTTTAGACTGTACTTTGTGTGTCACAAATTCCACCTGTCGTTTGTGGTCACTGATTCTGTGCTTGGAGAGAGCCTGCATTTGAATCCAAGCACACCCTTAGTATCTACTCTTCCTCCCATCTGTGCTTCCTTCCACATTGCAATCTATCCACAGAACAGTCTCCTTTTCATATACTCCTAATGACCCCCTCTCTTCATTCATATTCCTCCATAAAAGCACACACACTGCTCCATAAAGCTTTCACCAGAATTTCTCAGGAAATCTGCAGTGCTTTGTGACTGCATCTTCACTGGGTGTAATTTATGTATCTGAGTTGAATTTCCTGTGTTTATACCAGAGGCACAATTTAAGCATTCATAAAAAAGAGAAAAGAAATAGCCTTTGCTCTTGTGAAGATCTGAAGATAAGCAGAGCATGATGTGGTTTTCCTGAGTCTGCAGATGGCTCAGTAGCCTCTCCTGTTTTCAGAACTTTGCCAAGAAGCACCAATGTGCAGTTAGCAAGACTCTGGCCAGTTAGGGTATTTTTATAATGCAGTGAGAGATGTGATTGCAGTTTGGGTAGTCATACCCAGCTTTAATCTAGCTAGTGTGGCTAAAAATAACAATGAAGGTATGGTGGCATGGGCTTCAATTCAGACTGTACAAGCTCACCCAGAACCCTGGATATGTACTTGCATTTCTAGCTCATGCTGGGATCCATGCTACCGTGTCATCACTGCTATTTTTAGCTGCATTAGCTAAATTAATGCTAGCCCAAGTATGCCTACCTGTAACCTTGAAGTTGTCTTTAACTCCTCCCTCTGTCTCAACTCTGTGCATCCAAAACTTGCTGCCACCTTCTCCATAACATTTCTCACACCTAACCTTTTCTGCCTGTTCATGCCACTAAAACTCTTATGCAGAGTCATCATCCCATCTTGTTTACTGACATCTTCTCCTGTCCAGCTTCCCTGACATCCATCTTGCCCCCTTCCGATCCATACACAATGCAACTATTGAGATCATTGTCTTCCTTGCCTGTTGCTCCTGGCTCCTCTCTTCTCTATTGTATCCACTCAAAGCTTCTTCTGACCTTCAAGGCTCTTCTTGTTACTTGTTTTCCCTCTTTGCTTTCTTCCATGCTGCCTCATCACATGAAATGCCCTTCCTGAACTCATTATTAAATTCATTACTCTCTCATCCTTCAGATCCCTTCTCATAACTCACTTCTGCCACATTGCCTACAAGAAATCAGCCAAAGTAGGATGGTTAAATTGAATGGCAGTTGGAGAAAGTTAGTATTTCTGTGTCTCTAGTTCAATAGCCTACAGAAGGAGATTGAAGAGCGCAGCAATGACATTGAGACAATGAGAATGGAACAGCAGAAGCTGCAAGGTGTCATTAAGTCATTAGAGAAGGATATTCTGGGACTGAAGAGAGAGATTCAAGAAAGAGATGAGACTATCCAAGACAAGGTGAGGCAGAGCTATGACAGTCTGAGTAGCTGAGTTTTGTCACCCTCCCCTCACTCAAACACTGCTATTGGTATTACAATTCTTTGTATTGTTGTAGCACTCAGAGACTCTAATTAGTATCTGGGTCCCATTGTGCTAAGCTCTGAAGAAACTTGAACAAGAACACAATCCCTGCCTTGAAGAAGGCCTAGAGATAAGGACTCTGTGAGTATGTCTAAACAGCAAAGAAAGCAGCTGACCTGTGCCACCTGACTCGGGCTTGCAGGGCTGCGGGACTGTTTCATTGCTGTGTAGACTTCTGGGCTCAAGATGAAACCTGAGCTCTGGGACCCTCACACCCCTCCCCCAGTCTGAGCCCAGAAGTCTACACAACAATGAAACAGCCCCGCAGGCCCAACCCCGTGAGCCCGAGTCGACTAGCATGGGCCAGCCAAGGGTGTCTAGTTGCTAGTAGACATACTCTATGTTTCTTCCCTCCCCCCAGATCTTTCCTTGGGGATCTGTAGCTCAGGATTTTGAGCTACTTACCCCTTCCTTGGGTTTTGTAACTGATATCTATATTGTCATCCCCTCCCGCTTGTTCCTTGTCCCTCTCTGTGGGATTTGTGATTTAAGGTCTCAATCTCTATTTCCATTTCTCTGAGGAACTGTGGCTATAGTGTCTTCCTCCCCCTCCCCCCCCCCCAACATCCAGACATCCCTCCAGGGATCTGGTTGAGAGGTCTGTGTCTGATTCTCACTGGCTTCCTGCTTTGAGTCTTTGAAGAGAGCACTGACTTGTACCTATGTTTGCTTGTCCCAGGAGAAGCGGATTTATGACCTAAAAAAGAAAAACCAGGAGCTGGAAAAGTTCAAGTTTGTACTGGATTATAAAATAAAGGAGCTGAAGAAGCAAATAGAACCCCGTGAGAATGATATCAAAGCAATGAAGGAGCAGATCCAGGAGGTGAGCAGTGCACTCTTCTGACCCCTGCCACCCAGCCCTCCCTCTTTTCAAAGGGATGATAGGGCAAATGTACTAGGAGACTGCACCACATTTGTCCTTTGATTTGCCTTATTTAATGAGCATGAAGTATTGACTCACTCTTAATCCAAACTTGATTTCTTTGTTACCAATAAAATGACTTCTGCACATTGGCCATCCCTTCCCCTTTATACCAAGTCCTTGAGGTGACCTTCTTTTACATGGGAATTGCCCCAGTGGATCAGACCCAACCAGTGTGGGGTCCTGTTTCAAACAATGGTTAATGCCAAACTCTGCATAGGAGGGTGTAACTCATTTTCTTAATAAGACATCAAATTGTACAATACTAACCTATGGGAATTCTTATTCAAGATTTTATGTGAATGAATGTTTGACTTCCACTTACATCCGACTGTTAATCCCATTGTTTTCTTTCCAAACCTTCACTCTCACCACAGAAACTAGTCTCCAGTCCCCAGATGTTGAGGGTTTTTTTAAAGTTTTGGTTAGAACTAAGACATTTAGGAAGTCACCTAAACTTTTGAAGCCTTTGGAGACCTTAGGCCTATATAGTTCTTCAAATGGCTTCTGCATATTTCCATGCTTGGGATGTAGCAGATTCATGCAGTTCAGATGGTGGAATTTAATTCATATGCTGGTTGGTGCTCTCATGCACCCCTCCCCCATCTGTTCCTGAACATTCTAGGGATTTAGCTATAATGAATAGCATGGCACTGCAACCACCTCCGTTCCTTCCCACCACCAGCTGCGACAGACCAGGAACAGCTCCAGAAAGAACCCCAGGCCCCTTTTATATAGTGTGCTTAGTGGTTAGCTAATAGTTTAAATCACTTTACTGTCGAGATTTTAGTGTAGGTTTGTGGTTTTATTATTAAAGTGTTTGATGTTAGATTACTTTTAAATTATCTTTGGGACCAAGAGAGACAGTGGACCTAAAAGCAAAGAGATCAGGGTTCAGACAGCATGCCTCATGACCAGTGCCATATCTGTCATCAGATCAACACACTTGGTGCCTGACTTGTCTTGGAGAGTGACACTCACTAGGTGTTCTAGATATAGTGCTTTTACAAGAAGGACGAGAAAGGAGAGTCAGAACAAACTGAAGGCCATTCTGCTTCAGGAAGCCCTTGCAATAAAACCTGTCAGTGCTGAAAAGACAGGTGGCTCCAGAAAAAATCTTAGACCTGCTCCAGCATGCAGTAAAGACTCCAGACATCCTCTTTCAGCAGCAGACTTGTTCATTATACCAGATCCTCATGTACTGGACCCATTAGTTGAGGAAACAAGGAGAGAGCCACTATAGGCTCTGGCCATTCTGTTATCGTCTGCGATCCCTCAGGGTTGAGGATGATCTCTTTCACAGGTGGTTTTTTGTGTGTGTCCCCTTTGGTGACTGGAGGATTTTGATCCTTAAGCCACAAACTAATTGGCAAACATTGCAGGTCATGTTGGAAGACAGAGTTTGGCCATGATTGCTGCATAACAGTCATCTGTCCTTTCTTTTCTGAAATTTTTCTGGGACCAGGGCAAGGCAATTTTTCTCAAAAATGATCATCCCTTCTCTGACAAGTCTTTGCCAGTTAGCCCTGTCCTTGGCTACTGTCTCGCAGTGCGTGGTATCAATGTTACATCTTTTGATGTTTGTCTTAAGGGTGTCTTTAAAGCATTTCTTTTGGCCTCCCCATTTCCTTTCTCCTTTGGTAAGTTGGGTGTACAGTAATTGTTTTGGTAGGCATGCATCAGGCACGCGCACACAGGGCCTCAGTACTGAAGGTGTTGGCCTCCGTGAGGACACTGACGATAGTGCGGCAAGCCTCCCAGTTTAAGTTGAAGATCTTCCGGAGAAAGTGCTGGTGGTGGCGTTCCAGGTTTTTCAGATCTTTTCTGTAGGTCACCCAAGTCTTGCAGCCATAGAGGAGAGTTGGGATTACCATCGCTTTATAAACTGAAAGTCTAGTATATGTTCTAATGAGATTATTGAACACCTGTTGAGACAGTCTGCCAAAGGCAAGGCTTGCCCAGCGGATTCTGTGCTGAATCTTGATGTCTATGTTTGCTCTCTGTGAGAGATGGCTGCGAAGGTAGGCAAAGTGTTCTATATTTTCCAGTTCTTCTCTGTCAGTGTAAATCATAGAATCATAGAA